TGTACTGTTATCGAGACACATGTTAGTGGTGGAGGTGGATGTAATGATCCACTTCTTCGTGCATCGAGAGAAAATGTGGGGATCGGCCCGACTCTCGAAGTAGTTGGTCTTACCCAAACTCTCGAGTTCGAGCGATCTGTGTCAGCCAAACTGAAATCATGCAAGCTCGTTCATGAGGTGGTGTCTGAGAATGGGATGTGCCAATCTAGTCGAGTAGGAACGCCTTGGATCCAAGTTCATCTATGGTTGCAGCAATACCACGAGTGAAACTTTCTTGTCTCTTAGTGATATCAACCAGATATCTCAGGATACTTCAGATATCCGCTACGTCTGTTTGAACAGGTGGGTCGAATAAATTGTAGTACCAAATCTGATTGATTCTAGCTGCACTATTATCAAGTTACCTGTTAGTGGTGGAGGTGGAGGTAATGCTCCACCTCCTTGTGCATCGAGAGCAGACTCGGGGATCGGCCTTACTATCAAAGTAGTTGGTCTTGCCCCAACTCTCGAGTTGGAGCGATCTGTTTCAGCCGAACTAAAATCATAAGGTTGTTCATAAGCTCGTGCCTGAGACCGAGATCTGTCGATCAGGTCAAGCAGGAAATCTTGAGATCGAGATTAGAGGAGTAGGTCTCATCTGTTCAAGGGATATCATTTTTGGCATTCCAGCTCTTGGAGTACCAAGACAAAATCGGTACCCTTGGGTCCGATCGTTCTGATTCAGCGCGAGCTGGAGCCTGAGGCGTCACCCTTGAGGATGTGCTCTAGACATGAACCTGCTGGTCTATTGGTAGAGTCAAAGTGGAGCCCGTTGTTATGACGGTAGATCTCCCATTAATTGGTGGGGTCGAATTCGCTATAGTGCTAAATATGACTAACTCAGGCTGTAATGATATCAGGTCACATGTATGCAGTGAAAATGGAGGTAATGGTCTCCCATCTTGTATCGAGAGTAGGTGCACGAGTCGAACCTGCTCTGGAGATAATTGGTCTTACCCTAACCCTAGGGTTTGAGCGATCTATTTTAGCTAGACTGATATCAAGCGGGCTCGTTCTTGAGGTTGTAACTGACACCGTGATCTGCCAAACTGGTCGAGCACGAATGCTTGGAATTGGGATTGGAGGGCTAGAAATCGCTGAGACAAATCGATACCCTTAGGTCTAATCATTCCAATTCAGCGCAAGCAAGAGCCTGAGGCGTCGACCTTGAGGACGTGCTCTCGACCTAAAGAAGATCTATAACTGCCCTCCTTCTAGCACGAAATTGTGGATCCAAAAATCCACAACCAAGAATTTGATATTAATAAAAAAAAATTAAGATCTGGATCTTCGTATGAATCTTAGATAAATAAAATTTGAGAATAGCGAGATTGATCTGTATTATTATGAGATGGAAAATAATAAAAGCATAGTGCAACTCGTAGTATTTAGTTCTATGTGATTTTCTAGGGTAAAAGTGATTATGATTTGACTTGGCCTTATAGAAGCCCTCTCTTCTATTTATATAAGCGGTCAATAGTGATAATCCTTTTTCGGGTTTATTAGTTTAAACCTAGGTATCACTAATTCGAATGCAGAATGGTGAGGTTCGTTCAAAGGGACCAGCAATACACTCTAATCTT